CCCCCCCCTTCACCTAACATTTTCATTTGCAACAAATTTTGATAAAATTAGCTGCAGCGTTGTCAATTTATATCAGGATAACAGGAGAATCGAAGAGGAGAAGAGGAGAATCTTATGCAACCCAGAATTCTCGAATGAATATGCATCACCTTCCAGGATATCTAGCCCCTGATAGTTGACCGACTACTGAAACAATACGGAATACTCCATGAGTATTCCAGATGTTCCTGGAATCCTGTTCTTACCTCCGATTAGCTGGATATTTTGAGATGCGCACAGACTCGCCATTTGTTTATCAACAGTGTCTTTTATTTTTGTAATCATTTCTTTTTTTCATAAAAAAATACATTCACTTAACTATTGACTAGTTCCGTTTGTCTAATAATTATCATTTGATTCAATTTTTTACTCTGAAATCTTCAATGGAATGTTGAAATTTACACCTGAGGATATGTCGTCATAATTAGTGACAATATTCCCTAACAATTACAATAACTCTTTAAAATTTCATTAAATTGCCACCTGAAACTTACAGTAATTTGTCATCAGTCACAATACATTTTTTTTGTACATTTCACTGTTCTTTGTACAATCAATCATCAGGAAGATGAACATATGAAACCGATAGTAAAGTGAAATAAATTACAAAAGTCCCTGAAGAACTTCCTGATTTTGATTAACATTTGTTTAAATTTTACCGGGTAATTAAACGAGAAGAGCTCGACAATGTTTCCAACATGAAAATTTTCCAGTAACGGTCATCTTCTCGTTCCATTCCCCCGACAATTACAGATCAATAATCTTAATACAAAACACCCTACAAAATATTCAACAACATTAATCCTAACAATTCCTCATAAAAAAAAATCTAAAAAAATGTCACGTTGACAGAGAGCTGAAGATTGGTGAAGAGTATAAGACGATTGAATAAAAAAAAACATGAAAAAATACGATTGATGATGTCATTCGGACCTAAAACGTCGAAATGGAATAAAAAACATGGATAATGGTGGCAATCGGGTACAGGTAATTGGTGAAATGAATAACAACAGAATGCATTTAATGAGCGATTGTTTATTATGCTCTTATGATCACTTGTCATACAGGTAACGATGCGTTTTGTTTTCTTTAAATCTTTCTTTCTTTCTCATGAATGAAAATAGTTAATATATTATACTTTTTATTTTATAATTATTTAACATTGAATGAGAAAAAAAAATGGAGAAGACGAGAGAAAAGGAAAAAAAAAGTAAATAAATGATGATACGTAATAACAATTCGTGTTGGATGCAAATAAATGTTAGAATGTAAGAATAATATTAGATTTCATTACTCGTTCTTTATAATTTTCATCCAATACTAACTAATTTACAATCTAAATTCTTTATAACAATTATCACCCCGAAGAGAAGATGTGGGCGTAATATGATCGTACAATGGTATTGATAAAATAAATGGGGAGTAATGGGAAATAAGCGGGTGCGTTGTTTCAATAAATTACCGAATTCCTTAGATAACTATTGAAATAGAGAGAGGAAAATATCCAAGAGAAAGATGAAAAAAATCATTGAACCCTTCGGCGCGATAATAAATGAAAAATATTCCTCTCCTTATCCCAATATAATCGAATAAGAAAAAAAAAATCTATATATATCACCAGTCGTGAATAAATAAAAGATTCTGTGATGTCTAATCGTGGTTATCATTTCAATTGAACCGATGGAAATCTTTATCTACACACGACATGACACGGATGATCGAGGAAAATAAAATAATTACAGCGATGCACTTGATAAAAATGCGATTCAATAATTCCGTACTTCTACAATGATCATATCGAACCACTTGATTTTGTTTTTTTTTTAATTATCATTTTTTTTTTTTCACCTCTCGTGAAGCGTCTGGGTACAAGCGATAACATTTTAACACACGATTCGAGTTAATCGGATGCAGGGGAAAAAACATGAGGACATTTATCTTAGCTTTATACCTATTGAAACCTTTCGACGGAATTTCATTTTGCTAGTTGTTTTATTCTTTTTAATTTTTTCACTTTATGAGAGGCTCGTAACACTGGCGTTTTATTTGTGCTTAACATTTTTCTATTAATGCTAGAAAAAATGAATGTTGTCGACGAAGGATTCAAGAGTTATAGATAATCTACTTGTCGAATTCTAGTCCCAATGAGCTCATGGAATTCGATTAAAATGAGAAAAATAATAACTCGAAGATCTGCGGAGCGATTCATTAAAAAATATTTCAATTGAATAATATTTGGAAAATATTTCGAGACCTCGGGAGTGAAATAAAATAAATCAGTATAATCCGAACATTCCCCGGACATGACTAATTACTTTTCCCCAATCTCGAAGTCTCTTAAATGTTTGAGTGATCCAGGAGATTGTGGATGTGAGGCGAACGATATTTGTGATATAGATTTTGGGACACAGAAGTGCATTAATAATCATTAAAATTGTTTTTCATTCTGTTTCCTTAAATTACGGTTTATAGCCAAAGGAATGTACGGTACAATACTCGCATTCTGAACGAATGATTCCCTGGTACATCGCAGCCAGCTGCTCAATTTCGATATATCGTTATTATTTTGTCTATTTAATTAAAAAACCTCGGGATATCTAGATTGTAAACGAAAAGTGGCGAGGGTAGTGGTTAAAAGAGCATGAAAAGCACAGATTTATTTCCAATATTCCTCTGTTCTGTATCGTTCCTTAATTAATGAACATTTTAATATATGTATTATCTCTGGGAGCTCGAGCCCACGTTCAACTCAATATTTCATCTTGTGTAGCCATTAATCTGTCGACTAAAACGCTATTTATGCATTTACTTATACTCAACAAGGTACTTTTAATATTCCTTTTTTCATTAATATTTAATATCTGTTTTATCCCCGAGCTGCTACTGCTACTTGTCTACCTCAACAACAACGAGTTCATCCGGATTTATATATTGCATTATTATTCTTTTAATCATTTCATCTTTTATCATAAATTCACATCGTCTCCATCTCAATCCCCAAATTAACAACCTAAATAATCTATCTAATCGATCCCAAATGGAGTAACATGTACAATTTCTGTACAATTATTTTCTTAACTTCTTGCATTATCCTTTTACGAGGTCCTCATTTATTCTGGACGTTTAATATATTCGGAATAAACGCGAGTGATGTTGAATCTTATCAATTACAGTGATGTCTATTTTAGGCTTTAATCAATGCAATTTATATCAGAAGATAAATCAATAATATCCCGTCATTATTTTCACTTTGTTTTTGAAGGATAAAAAATCATTGCTATTGTCAATACGTGCGAGTTTAATTGATATATTTTCTTTTTGCTTTGTGACTCTTGATTTATGATGCACAATGAAGTCATTAATTAGTGATTATGTGGAATGCCATGGAATTCCCTCGTGATGTGATATAGTGGACGTGGATTTGTTCGATTGAATTATAGCACCATTATCAACAACTCGAAGTTTCACAAATCACTATTTCAGTTAATGCTTTTTTTCTTTTTAATAAATTTTAATGAAAATTAAAGGTATCATCCCATTGCTCTCGTGCTAATAAATAACTCATGGCATCGACAATGAGTGGTGGAATAAACTTTAACAATCCACGTTCGTGTACTTCAGTGACAATGAGATGGTAAATAAAAGATGGGGGAAATAGTGTCTCTTGTTTTCAGTGCACAATTATGGCACATTAATTTAATAATGGAGCATGAGATGTTATTATTAATTACAAGCTATTATTTCTCTGTTCTTCAATAATTCCTTTTAACGTCAATTAAATAAGCATTTGACCCCCCAATCGTTCGACAATTGGGAGAATATATTTCTTCTCATGATCTGTTATATGCATGTATATATATATACATATATCTATATCTTTCTCTTTTCTATTGCAATCTATATAATATTTCCCCTCAAATTCAATCGTCCCACTAGATTGAGAATGATTCAATGAATTCATGATGTAGCCTAGCAACACACAGCCAAGTTACGTGACCAAGTCACGCGTAATGGTAATTGCAATGAGGAAAATTCTTTAATATTAAAAACGACAACGAAAACCCAGAGCCAAAACCACCCACAATCCATGATTTATCAAATTTATTATTATCTCAATCCTAGACCAACGGAATAAACGCCTCAACCAAATAATCAAGTGAAATTAATATTTTTCCTCACTACAGATGTTGAATTGATCGTTCCTTATCACTTTATACATAAATAAATTCATCTCCCGATACCTCGAGGCAATTCCTACACTGTCCAACACGTCTAATCCTCCAATAACCAATTACATCCCTAAAATTATCAATTTAACAATAAATGTTCCCTAATCGTCACCCTAATTTCACTTACAATGATGAGTTTGATGAATCGTCGAAAATAAGAATTTATGATTCTGAATTGACCTCTCGACGTCACGTTTTATGTAACAACTGTGCAATTATCATGACGAATGAACAGAGAAAAATGATAATAACAATGTTGAAAAAAAAAAAATAACAGAGTGAAGGAGAAACGAAAAGAAATAATGGAAGTGGCGATAAAAAGAGAAAAAAAAAAGACGAATTGCACTGTGTAATCGATGAATATCTCCACTCATATATATATACATACACATACAGTGTATGAATCTGCATATATTATAGATGAACATACATATATCTCTTCTAATTTATATTAATGAATATGAATATATTAATAAACCTTCGACACTTGAACGATTGTAATTGAACGCGAATTTTCCTAATATACTTTGTATACGTTCAATATTCAATATATTTTGGCTAGTTTACATACTTAACATAATCATTATATCATCCATATCCACCGGAAATAATCGCGTTCAATCGATCAATTAATGGCGTTTTATCTACTCTCATTATCAATTAATATTAATCTTTTAAACATTCAACAACTCGTAAGTAGCATTATCTCCAGATGCTACGTCATTCAAGTGTTTATATTCTATATGTATGTATATATATATATTATAATCAACCGTTCTCTGACGTTTGGAACGAGGTTAGTCGTTGAAAAAGGCTCATTTTGATTATAATTTTAATAAATTTCTCTTATCAGGGGGTCATATCAGGTTTATCCAAAAGAGTATCACCAAAGAGACATGCACAGACAAGCGATTTAATTTTTTTTCTTTTAAAAACAAATTTTCGTTATAGCCGTTAGGATTAATTGGGGTGAATTTATCCTTCGTCTCTGTGCACGACATCCAGGACAAAACTGGTGTGAAGCTATTTTCCCTGTTCTTCACCTCGACATTCCATATATCTTGGATAATATTTGACACCAATGGTTGAATACTCTCACACGATTATCAATGTCATGTTATTATTTTTTCTTGTTTGTTTTTTTTTTCTCTTTTTTTCTCATTGCTATTGGGAATATTTATGTCTGTAAACACATCTCTTTGACGCTTACCTATTGAATTATGTTCAAGGAGACTCTGTTTAAAGAAGGAAAACCAGCTTCTCGGCATTCTCGGTTGGCGAAACTCACGAGCACGTTAACGTGTCAGTGTGTGTGTGTAATTATTCAACCATTATTGTTCAAACTGTGAATACTGTCAGGTACGCAGTAGAAAGCTCCATTTCCGAATCGTCCTTGCTCGTCGTACATTGCCTTGCCGTGAAGCTATTTTTCCTGCGCAAAACAAATTTGTCTACATTTTTCACACGACTATAAACAATATTCTTGAGGGGATGTAAGACAGTTCTTGTTGTTTTTTTTTTTTTTAATTCTAGTTCATTGACCACTACTTTCTTATCTGAACTCGACTGGAAAAAATTTCAATCAACTCTGTTAAACAAATAGTTTTATAACAAATACCTTCAAAACACTAAAACCAAAGACTACCTACGAGTTGTTAAATTTTCATTTAGTTGGAAAAAAATAGGACTGCAAACAATTAAAGTTTCACTCCTAGTCTTTCACGAGTCAGTGCACATTCTTCATGTCTCACGCAGGAAAATAATGAAAAAAAACAGAATGATGACAGTGATGGTAATCGCTAATTCATTAAAGACTCAGCAGTTTTGTAAGTGGATGATGCCAATATTTGTCTAGTGATTGATGAACCTCAGGTAACCCAAGTGTTTTTTTTAAAATCGTCAATGCCCTAAATCTACTGTGATGATGCCCTTCGTATTAATCAGATAAACGTCTCTCAATCTCATGAACATTCGATAAAAAAAAATATAATTATCTACAAATTGAATAATTACATCCGTAAACTTGATTTGTCAATGAAATTCAACCAACTCTGCTGGGAGAAAGAAAAATGTGAAAATCCCTCGGTGATTGGATGAATTTTTTAAAAATTGGTGAATCTACATTGAAATTGGTAACGAATTATTTAAAATACGAGTCATACTCTAAACCCGGGACGCAATTATCAATAATGTCAGTGATCCTATCCTCGTGTCAACAATATTAAATATTGCATTCTAAAATAACGTAACTAATGAAACCTCTTTACTCGCTAATATATAATTTTCCTTCTCCATTACCGCCGTATATATATCGTTTAATATATCGTATTTATAAATATACAAGTTCATCTGTTTATATCCTCGTTAATTTATAACTTTTGATGGAGATACGGTGAGCCAGCGCCTTTGGAACTCTTCGATAATCTTCGATAAAATAGTACAGTTTTCAATATTCAGTGGCTACATTCTTTCTTTTATCATCCAGCAAAAAACACACTGCCCGAGCTCGGGTTTACCTGCGATTGAGTGATTTTATTCACTCCACAGTAATCCCTTCTATTGCAAAATAAGAGAAAAAAGCTCATTTCTATTGAGAAAATTCTACTGACACCGGAGTACATTCTCCTTGGAATTTAAAATAAATCATAAATTACCAGATAAATCAACTATTGAAAATAGACAAGGGAATATTTTCCTGTATCGAGTAAATCTTCAAAAAGTAGATTTTTCCCTGGATGTGAAATACTCATCTCCCCAGTGAATCCACTCGATCCACAAGTGGACCTGAGGGCCCTGGGCCCCACCATTAATCCTCTACAAAGAATTCTATCCCTCGCCCTCCCCTAAACCTGTTTTCCTGAATAAAAAAATATTTCATCATGGAAATCTGCGAAACTCTCACTCGAATATATCTCATCGCCTAAATGACTTAAACCTGACGAATGTTCAAATTGTTAATCTAGTGTATCAACTGGAATTCAACCACAAGAAGCTGAAGAGTTCGCTCGAGAGTTTGTGCCACGACCGAGAAGATGGCTGGACTTGACTGTGAGCCCGGATAATTAAAAAAAGAAAGAAAAAAAAAACACAAGAAAAAGCAGAAAAACAGAAATGAGGCGTGGAATCAAGGGGCAGGGCCAGCCAGCCTCGAATACTCTAAGAAAAAATATCCATACGAAAGGAATAATAAATCCTGGTCAAAGTATCTTTGGCATTGAAACCTCTGGCAGATAATTAAAAAAAATCTCTTAACAATTATTCATTAAAATCCGTCCAACCATTCTGGTCTCAAGCACAAAATCTCCCCCTCAGCAGGATGAACTCTCGTGTTTATTTGTTCGTTAAACGTGATAAAGCCCCGCAATGTGATGTATCACAGAACAATCATATAGTTATCCTCATCAACGAATATGCATATATAATAGATTAAGAATCTTATAGATTTATAATTAGAGGGTGTGTCAGTGGATGAGTGACAACTTGTGAAGAAAAATTAATTCAAAAATCTAGAGGTCCGAGATAAATCTGTTGGAGATCCAGTAGCCGCCTGATAAAGTAAGATAAATAATAAAATATCTCACTTGAGCCCATCCCTACTGAATGTCCCCCAGAAATCATCCCATTAGTCTCAATAATTTTTTCGTATATAGTGGGCAATGCATAAGCGCCAAAAGTGACTCAACTCCAAAAAGAAATAAAAATGTACGAGTTATGTGAGAAACTAAAATTTGAGGCACGAGGAGATGGAGTTAAAGACCCAGTGATTAAACAAAAAAAAAACAATAAAAAATAAAAATAATCCTGACCTGAGTCTTTTCCCCGATTAAATATAAATGTCTCCTCAATGAGACCTCGCCATCACGTGTGATACAAGGACAACGGTCTCCCTGAATAAATCGCAAATGTAAATGTTGACATATTTTACGATAAATATTGGAATCAATGTATCATGCCAGCAATGGCATTGTGACGCGCACGCTTAGCCTCCTCCTCGCTGATTCGCTGTTCAATGAGGTACTGGGCTGTACCAATGGCATTTGGAAAGCCAGTGATAGTGACAATACGATTTCTCGTACCAGGTGCAAACATTCCCTTTTTTGATATCTGTATATTAGCACCACTTAAGTGCTGAATCTCAATGAGTGAACGACCACCAGGACCAAGTATAGCACCAACAATAACCTCAGCAATTTCTATATCTACTTTCTTGGTTTCCTTGTTGTTGATCTCGATTGTATTAGGGCTCTTACTTACGAGTGACAATTGATTTGTTCCAAGTCCAAATGAATTGTTGTTAAGGTGTATTGCTGATACTGCTGTGCTGTTCTGTCTGAATGCATCGAAGGGCTCGTATCTGTCGAGAGTATTTCGGGGTGTTGGTGATGTTGAGCCCATTGTGGGAACAGTGCCAATTGGCCCGAATACACCTCCGTTGTTGTTGGAGCCATTTGCTGATGTGGTACTGTCGATTGGGTTACCGAGGTATGACATACTCGATGGTACACCAATGCCCATACCAAGGATGTTGTACTTGGCCAGAGTTGCTGCTGCTGTTAGAATTTCTGTGGCTGCTGCCTCTGAGAAGCCTGTGGTCCTCAGATGTAGCTTCAAGTGCTCCAACAGTTGAGATGTCACTGGTGCAGTGCCTGTTGTTATCGCTGCACCCAGGTTCAGATTCAGGCTGAGACCTGCACCATTCAGCAGAGACACTGTAACCGATAAAATGAAAATTGTTAATTAGATATGATTCTTCAGGGAAAATAATGGGTAAAGAGAGGGAAATTTTACCAGTATTGAGACCTGCTGGTGACGTGTACGTTGGCGTGGTGGCTGGTGCTTGTGCATAGGGGCTGCCTGTTGGATTGTAATTGGCCACTGGCCCACTGACATCTGCGTAGCTCACGTTAAGACACGTGCCACTCTGAGGATCATCGGCTATCTTAGCTAGAATCATGAGAAGGGCATTGCGATTGTTGTCCTTATCACCAATTACAGTGATGCAACGCTCCTGGAGGGACAAGTCCTTGGCCTTTTGACTTATTTGTACGTACGATCCGGACTCCTCTTTAATCTGTTTTATGTAATTACCACCTTTTCCTATGATCATGCCAGCAGTACTGTTGGGCACCAGAATCTTAACCTGGAGAATATAATTATTCATTGCAGTGCATTCGTGGAAATATCAATTACCTACGGAAATTATTTTCGAGCTGTTAATTACCTGCTTGTCTCTCTCGGCTGTTGCCTTGCCCGAGTCAAAGTCCACTGTTGTTTTGGCTGTTAAATCGGGTTTCTCCCGTATTTTTTCCATTATGAAGTCCATAACTTGCATTATGGCTTCGACACTACCGGTTATTAAACAGACTCGCTCGGAAGTGCCTGGAATATACGGTGATATTTGAAGAATTAATAACGAGACGATTAAGGGATTTAATTTTGAGAGAAAATGTAGATTGAATATCAGGATGGAAATTGGCAGTACCTGGATAAAAATCACGAGCCTTTGACATTTTGACCCTGGCCTCGGTGTCCTTCTGTAGTTGGGCAATGGTCTCACCCCCTTTCCCAATGATGGCACCAGCCGCCACCCCCGGGACAAGAACTTTGAGGTGATACATTCCATCTCCTCCTATCAACATTTACAAACCAACTGTTAATTCCACACAACCCGCAGTGCACACTTCAGAGAAGAGAGGGAGTTAAAATCATCGGCTAAGTTGTAAAACAAGTTAAGTTGACTCATCACTCCAAAATAAAGGGGGATAGCGAAATTTTCATTGTGATCTTTTTTCATCAGCTAATCGAGAGCTAAAAATAATGTTATTGATGAAATTTCACTGTCTGCCTTTATTTCGAAGTTATCACCGAATGAGTGAGTCAACTCACCTACTTTTTCATAATTACTCCAAAAATATTCGACATTCACTCTCTAATATCGCCGGATTGTTTGAGTGAATCCCTGACATTTTTTCTCCTCCTAAAGGCAATACCTTCTCCTCAAAACCCCCAAAATCTCGAAAAAATTTCATCGGCGAATCCCGTGACACGGACAACCCAATAAATTCAATTTCTTCCACCTGCGATCAATCGACTTTGCCATCAATGCGCGTCATAAAATGTCACAATATCCCTCACACAATCGCTCATGTATAATCTCAGAAAAAACGTCGAGAAAAAACTGAATCGCACGTGGAACTTGGAACCTGTCGCATTGCGCAACGATCATGCAAGAAAATCGAAAAAATCCCGTTCAAGTTCCACAGTCTCCTCTCCACACTCCTCCCCCATTATCTGGACCCCTAATCACCTGGTGAACCTCACAAAACCCCCAAAAACCCGACAGAGACCCCAAAAAATTAATCTCCCCCCGAAACAGCTGTTTGACAGCCGTCGCTCGAGCCCGTGCCTCGACCTTGACCCGCGACCTAGTGCTCCCCAGAGCTCCAAAAACCCACTCACCACTTGTCCACATCCTCCAGGTCGTTAAACACCTCCGACAACACCCTGGGCTCAACCCCCAGTGTCCCGGAAAAAAAAAAACCTCTTCCACAAGGAAAACTACGATAACTGCGGAGTCACACAGCTGCCATTACCCGCCCACTCTGCCCTAACGTCAAATTCAAAACTCGTCGATACTCCAAAACACTCGAAATACCCGCCCCAACCGAGGGGGGGAAATTTATCGAAAGACGTGGCACGAGATAAGATAGCCCGAAAAAAAAGATGAAAAAAAAGTGAATACGAGGAGAAAAAAATGAAGGGCGATAAGCCCAACCTCAGGGATTCCTCATCATCGACACAAAAACGGCGACACACATATAAAATTGAGAGAGATAGACTGTCCCCCCCTCCAACACCCAAATCTACCGTATTCACCACAAAATCAAAAATAAATCACGGATAAATCGTTAATTACCTGAGCCGTAATGAGACCTCTTGGTCGCCCCGTTCTCCACGTCGCAATCCAACGGCCGTTTCCTCGAGTCCGCAATTTCTGGTGACGGACACGTCTCCATTCCCGAGTCAGCAGCCATCTTGAGATTCGTATTCCACACCACCACTGACTAATCCCCAAAGTGTTTCAGTAATCAACTGTGCCTTTTTTTTTTTATTTCTCTCTCAATCCTCCAATTCTCACCGTAGCCCAACGAAAAATAATCGTGAGATCGTCGAATCAACACAAATACCTCCAAATATTTCTCGTTCACCCCCACTGCTGTCGATTAAACAATCGTTATTTATTTTATTTTATTTTATTTTTTGTTATATTACTGAATGGGGGAATTGACGGAAAAACGCAACGAAAAAAAAAACCGAACGAGGAGAACACGGTGACACCAACTGGGGCCGGGGGCAAACTGCTGGGCAATCTGGGTCTGGGCCTCGACACGGGTGTCCCAGAGACCAAGTCCGGGTTATCAAACACTCCCGAGGGTGCGTTACGGTCTCTGGCGCGCGGGAACAAGATGACAACAATGCCAGACCTGGGGAGGGGTACCAAGAGCTGATGGGTGGGGCGGAGGAGGGGGAAGTAACACGGGAGAGGGGTTTAGGAAGTGGTGGATTAAATTTTATTTAAACATTTTTTTTTTCTCCTTCGATTTTTGCCAAGCAATTTTTTGATTTTTTTTTCAATATATCGAATTGATGATTGAATTTTATTTTGGGCACTTGAATATTTTCATTGGGAAATTATGACTGTTGCTATTTTAAATGTTGCTCAATTGCGCTTTTGGGGTCAAAGGGGAAAGGGAAATTTTTTATTTTTTTTTTCCGGGGAGACACTGGACGATTAAGTGAGACTAGACTTCGGGTACGACTCGGCTGTCGGTGGTTTTTTGATTGTGATAGAATAAAAAGATAAAAAAAAAATTGTTATGGGGGAGAGGGGGATTGATGGTGGGTCCAATCGTGTTGCTTTGATACCTCTCCCTTCCCCTCTTGCCCCTCACGGGGTAACGATGACACCTAGGGGAGGGGAGGGGAGTGATTACGGAGTACGTGGGTGCAGGGACGTACTTAGGAGTGCAACTGACGGGGCGGTGCATCGGGGGGACACTTGGGGAGGGGATTTTCAGAGTTATGGATTTTTCAATTCTTTTCAATTAATTTTTCTAATTTTTTTCATTGAATTTTTTTAACTTCGGAAAATTAGGAGTTGTCAATTTTTTTCGTTGCGTTTTTGCCTTTCAAGTTTTTTCTTTTCCTGTTTTGGTATTTTATATTTGGGTGGTTTCTTTTAATGGGATTTTTGGTTTTTATTCTCGGTTCTCTTTTTATTAAAATTCTTGTTGCTAGGCATTTTTCTTATGACTCGTCTATTTACTTGTCTATTTACTTTAGCCATCGATATTTAAGCTCTCCACTTTTGAATTTAGTGTGCATTCCATGAATTTTAAGTTTCAACCTCGTATTCGATATTTTACGTTTATTTTGTTCTCCAACAATTCCTCCAACATTCCTTCACCTATCGTACTAAAAATCATTGAATGATTTCCTCAAAAAAAAAAATTCACCGAAAAATTACACTTTGTTGCTAGGCAATTCTACGAGGGACTTCCAATTTCCTCCGAAAATCGATTTTAAATTTATTTAAATTTAGAAATTTTAGTATCTGAATTTATCCTCCATCTCCCGACTTTCTATCAATTCCCCCTAAAAATAGATTTGAAATATTTTCGTCTAGAATAAAAAGTCATTCCCCTGGAACTAGCTATTTCACACAGCCTTCCCTTTATTTCTCCTCAAGTTGTCGCTCACCCTTTAAACAATCTTTGAACACCCAGGAAGCATTCAATATGATAGATGAATGCATGAGGGATTTTATAGGCGTTGGGTACGAGTGATACTACAGCCACGTTGTGACATCATTCCATCTAATCCAAACATTTTAGAATGGGAAAACTCGTCGGAGCACTCGATGCGTCGTATTTTAAGTTTCTCATTATAATTCCCCTATACGAGACATTCCACTATTCGAATAATCGATAGATTTTCTCCTCGATTTTTAGGACCAGAAACCTCTCCAAAATCGAGAAAAATTTCATCCAATTCATCCAAAATGAAGAAATAAATAAAATAAAAAAAAAACCATTTCTCAAACGTCTGACGTATTCTATTTTTAATCCCTGAGTCAATCGATGATCCCCAGCTGAATCCCCAATTTTCCCTCAAATAACGCATCAAATGCAACAAATTAACAGATTTCCTTATCCCATCGGTAATTACATCAAAACTCATTACCAGAGTATAAAAATAATGCGGATGTCATTTAAAAGCCATTAATGACTTGTGGAGGAGACAATTTGATTGAAATAACGACCGAAAACCTGAGGATCACCCCATAAAAAAAAATTATTGCTGCAGTAAACATAATAGTCGACCGTGACACGAATTAATTGTATTTTTATATAATGAAATCGTGACGGCATCGAGCAGGGAGTGGACACGTGTATTTATACATCTAACCGATCGTTGTTTTTGATCTATCGATCTGTATTGCACATTTTACTCGTTGTATCTGCGATTACGTTCAATTACCAATGCCATGGGATTGCATAACAACTCAGCTAGACTAGATTGGAGATACGGGGGCTCAAGTGGCTCTCCGATGTTTCATGATTTCACGACGATCAGAACTATTTCAAAACCCTCATTCGAATATTCGAAATAATCATCGCAATTCCATCGATTAATTGAAGAAATGTTAGAGAATTGATTAGTGGAGAGATGAGAGGAATTTGATTAATCAAAATCGTATAAAAATATTAATGATAGACGATAAATGAAAATTATGGGCAAAATGACCTTTCGGCTTGAGTATCTCTGGATCTGTGAGACATAGCGCAATTTCTGTGGGGACAACTCTTGAAGCTATCATTTCACTCTACAATAGAGGTCATGATAAAAATTGCGCTATCTCTTTGAGATTTCGAGATATTGGGGAGATATGGGGGAAAAGAACTATAATTTTGTGGACGTTTGTTACGGAGTGATTATGGGCCCTAATCACGAGCAGTAAGCGTAAAAAAAAGAAAATATTTAACTTTCGAATCTGTCAGTTCTCTTGAAATTAGTCTCACCCTATTTTATCTAAGCTGCTGTTTGTGTAATGATTTTCGGAGTGGGGGCCACGTCACATGTTCGATAACCATCGACCAGTCATCGAGAGGGGCTGAGCAGAAAGATTCCTTTGTACTAGAATTTCCCTCGAGAATATTGTCTTGGTAAAATAACAGAGGAATAACTGCTCCAATGGTCCTTTGTCAATCTCCCCTGGTTGTTATGTAAATCATAAGGGGATAAAATTTCTAAACATAATTCCAATGAAATTTACAGTTCAGTGACGCATCGACTCGAAAACAGAACTTTTCCCTTTGAACTATTCAAACAACTCGCTGGCCTATTCACTGGCATTTTGCCTCTGCCTTTGAAAATAATTCAGGAATAGTTTCATGCACGTCTGGAATCGATTCTCATAAATACCAAGTTCGACTTTCAACGAAAGAAATTCAGTGACCAAGTGGTGAACGGTAACAAGTGGATTTAACCGATGCATAAGTTTTTCCCATACACATCTGAATCTGAGAGTAATTAAAAAATCTTGTGAGAACATTTTTTGCAGCTCTCAATCTGCTCTACAAAATACGTCTAGATAAAAATTGCGCTATCTCTCTTGGATTCGGAGATATCCACAAAAGATCCAGCTAAGAGACAAGTTGAATCGTCACCCTATACCTTTTCGCTACTGAATTGTCCAATAGAGAAAAAAAAAGATAAAAACACTTATAAAGTGCATTGTCCTTGTCCTACAGCCATTGCGACTGGATTTTCTCACTCGAGTGTTATTTCTCGGTGTTGCATAGCTCTAAACAAGTCTAGGAACCCACACAGATGTAGATTTAATCAAGGACAATTCAACGCTGCAATTCATCTGACACTCACTCGGCCACTTGTTTTTCCCATTTTTTTTTTTCTCATCTTGCACGCGTCCTCCGTAGCTCATTACAACGGATAATTAATTCACGCCAGTGTCCTTGAGCTCTCGACAATTGTCATCGCTCTAATTAGTTATTTGAGAGTACTTCATTATTTTTACAGGTGAGTCGATGAAATTGTGTGTAGATCCATCTCGACGTCCATAAAATAACAAATAAATGAAGCGATTTGTAAATATGAACGATGAACTCTTTATTCGATAAAAAAAAAATCAGCTCGACTTATCCGAAATTATCCGAAAGGAGTTGTGTCACCAATCGTCACTGTCGTTGACGTCTTCAGAATCGTTGGATCCCCTCAGAGTGGAAAATAAAACGTCTCTGACCTTTGGCTTTGGGTCCTCTTTGATTTTTGTGGGTACGGCCTCCACCTGGCCCAACATCCACTCCAGTTCTGATTCACAGAGAATTTCATCGGCTCATAAATAACTTTTGAGACCCAAGTGAACACCCAATAAAGAATTAATTAACTTATTATTAGTATTATCGATTAATGATTTTACCAGCCTCAGAGAGTTTCATTCCTCGGAGCTCGATGGGCCCGATTATTTGCTTCATCATATTTCCATTGTGATAAATAAATAATGCAGGCAAATTCCTATCTGGCCAGTTGGGGATGCAAGTAGTCGAAACGCTCTTCAAGAATTTAGTTGTTGGAAATTTTCTCGCTAAATTTGATAAATACTGATCGATTAACGAGCAGAGGGGAATCCTGGAACAATTGGTGATTCCAAATAATGAATAAAAAAATTCATGTCCCATCTCCAGATGTCCAGATCTCTCTGAATTAATTACGATGATTTACCCGGGCTTGTAAAGATGTAGAACGACCCAAATATCCTCCCCTGCATTGTTAACCTCCTGAACATAATCAGACGCTGAAATTTCCCTGACATCTCCATATTTAGATTTATCAGCAAGTGCCTGCATCTCAGCTATTCTCTTTTTACGATATTCCAGTAGGACTCGCTCATCCTCCTCATCTTCCAGTTCATCGAGCTCGTCCAGATCCTTATCCTCTAAATTATTGCCTCCTGCAGTTCCACAATTAATTTTTTATTCTATTGAATATTTTCGTGAATCAACTAGATCTTCTCACCTCTCCCAGTCTTATTGTCAATCGTGCTCTCTAGGATATCAACAATCTCATCCTCAGTGATTCCCTTTTCCTTTTTCGCAGGAATAATTCCCTTAGCCCTGAGGATGTCATTCCACTCAGTGTCTTCGTTCGGATTTTGCTAAACCCCCAAAAAATCCAACGACAATAATTAAACAACGAGGTGAACACACCAATAACAATCAACCCAGAGCTTCAAATTTACCATTATTTCTCCTGAAACTGCCTAATGTTCACGAAAAACTTGTCAAAAAATTCCTGACTCCCTCACTCTGACAAAAACTAATCTGGAGCAAAGAATAAAAAAATTTCACTCCAAACTTAGTCACCGGATCGAATTACTACAGCCCCACGACTTCACGAGCCTAGGGACTCCAAACTCCAGCTGATGAGATAAATCACTAGAAAAATTTCCCAAATTCTCTGAGAGTCCTTGAAAATCAATTGAGAACCCCTAGAAGAAAACTGAGAGCCCCTGAATTTTCTCAAACAGGGAAATACGTCAGAAACGTTATAAAACCGATAATAAATTTTCGATTAAGTTATGAAAATGTGATATCGACGAGAAGAACGTGTCACGTCACTTTAATCGAGTGTCCAATCACTTCCGCTTAAAAATGCTCGAGAGTTGTACCACGTAGCACTTGACAGTGCAAATAAAAATTGAGGTTGTTTTACGTTAGGAATTATAATAAAAATAAAGCATCGGCCAATTGAAAATAATGCGAACACAAATGACGTTTCGATATTTCAAATTGTTTGCGGTGTTGGGAGCTGGGGGAATTCTTGCCTGTTGCCTCATGATGTATCTACTCCTGGATTTGACGTTCTCGCCTCGAGGGAAGCTACAGAAACTGGCGATCGAGGAGGTAATAATCAGGTTTTAAACCAAGATTAAACAAAGATAAGAGCCCCACCAGTATTGCCGATAGATAATACTAATCGATAAATCAATAAAGCTCCCCTCCGGAAATCGACGAGCGATTGTCAAAGATATTTTACAGAAACTGTCAGATTTTTTGGGGGCAAAATTGATATTTGATTTTTGAATATTCATTTGATTGCAGAATCAATGGGTGCACATTGAAAATAGATTGGCGAAGCTGGAGGCCGACCTGGATCGTCATCACAAGGTGATAAACACGAGAAAAGACACCTCGGACACTGAATTGTCCCCAGGTCGACCCCAGAATCACCACGTCCACCAGATCGAGCCCCAGATAAGACCTGACAAACCCCTGCAATGCAGTTTCGACCTCCAAAAGATCCCAGAGGTTGACATCCAGATGCTAGACCTCTACAGACAACTCGAGTTCGATAACCCAGACGGTGGTGTTTGGAAACAGGGATGGGCCCTAAAATACGACGACAAGCAGTGGCACAAGACTCGAAAGCTCAATGTTTTTGTTGTTCCACACTCGCACAACGATCCAGGATGGCTAGAGACATTCGAGAAATACTACAGCCAGAAGACAAACAGAATTCTCAACAATATGGTGAGAAAATTGTCAGAGGACAAGAGAAAAAAATTCATATGGGCTGAGATGTCGTTCTTCAAGCTCTGGTGGGACGAGCAGCAGAAGACGACCCAGGAGCAGGTGAAACGTCTGATTGTGGATGGACAATTAGAGATTGTAGCTGGTGGATGGGTTATGCCTGACGAGGCTGTCTCCCACTGGATGGCACAGCTGGCACAGCTGACCCAGGGTCACCAGTGGCTCAAGGCCAATCTGGATTATGTACCAACCACTGGGTGGGCTATTGATCCATTTGGATTATCTCCCACGATGCCTTATCTCTTGAAGAACGCAGGGATGGAGAATCTTCTCATTCAGAGAGTCCATTATGCTGTGAAGAAGAGACTTGCCAGGGACAAGAGCCTGGAATTCAAGTGGAGACAGCTGTGGGACAACGATGGATCCAGTGAATTACTCACTCACATGATGCCATTCTATAGCTACGACGTGCCTCATACCTGTGGTCCTGATCCCAAGGTCTGCTGTCAATTTGATTTCTTCAGGCTTCCAAATTTTGGGTTGAGCTGTCCCTGGAGAGTGCCTCCCAAGGTCGTCACCAAGAAAAATGTTGGGGAGAGGGCAGCTCTTCTCCTCGATCAGTACAGGAAGAAGTCTCAGTTGTTCAGGTCTAATGTCGTCATTGCACCACTGGGTGACGACTTCAGGTACTCACAGAGTTCTGAATGGGACGCACAGTATGGAAATTATCAGAAGATATTTGATTACTTGAATTCGAATGATCAGTTCAACGTGAGGATTCAATTTGGAACGTTGACTGATTATTTCAATGCCCTCAGGGAAGAGCAGAATGTAGAGAAATTTCCGAGCCTCTCTGGTGATTTTTTCACGTATGCAGACAGGGATGATCACTACTGGAGTGGATATTACACGTCGAGACCGTTTCACAAACGATTGGATCGAGTTCTCATGGGGTCTCTGAGGGCAGCTGAGGTGCTTTCATCGATTGGTTGGGCAAGGGGTCACGAGCACCTCTCGGAGTCCGGCCTGGAGAGAAGATTGAATGTAGCGAGACAGTGGCACTCGCTCTTTCAGCATCACGATGGCGTGACAGGAACGGCCAGGGACGAGGTCGTCGTCGATTACGCCCAGAAGATGATATCAGCTCTGAATGATACAGCGCATGTTCTTCAACAGTCAGCTGCACACCTTCTGAGGAGTCCCCAGGGGCCGGCCCTCGAACCCGAGTCCCAGTACTTCACACTCGATGAGATGAGAACTCATCACACGAGTATTGGTGATAGAATAACAATTTCCCTGGGGGACGACGGGATATCCAGGAAGGTCGTGATTTTCAATTCCCTCCCAAGGGTGAGGACGAGAGTCCAGACTGTCATCGTGTCTAATCCCTACGTAAGGGTTACAGATAGAATGGGACAGGCTGTGGAGTGCCAGTTGTCCCCAGTCTGGGTGGGACCTGGGGCCATCTCTGGGGCGAGATATGAGCTCTCATTCCTGGTGACTGTTCCTGGTTTTGGCATCAACACTTACTTAATCCATCCCCTGAAGGACTCGTCGTTGCCACCTGGTGTTCACCTGGCCAACGTCACACTCTTCAATAATCCCATACCACCGAGACCTGTTCGAGGATTTGAACACCTCCAGGCGCAGCCCTCAAGTCAGGAGTTCTCGATAGGTGTGAGACCAGGACTCTCGGCATCTTTCTCGAGGACGGGGCTGCTCAAAGCACTAAAAATAGGCGAGACAACATTCCCAGTCCACTTGGAGTTCGTGAAATATGGAACAACACCTCCAGGGCGACCTCAGAGTGGTGCATACCTATTTCTTCCTGACAAACCCGAGCCTGATCCTGTCTACACGATGATGGACAGGACAATTCATTTAGTCACTGGACCAATTTTATCCCGTGTCTTCGTGGATCTACCACATCTCCGGCACACCTGTACTTTATTCAACTCCCCAGGTAGCGATGGACTGGGTCTCCACGTCTTCAACGAGGTTGACATATCAGAGACCCAGAATTTCGAGCTTGCCATGAGGCTTGACACGGATATCGCCTCTGGTGATGAGTTTTTCACTGATCTCAATGGTCTCAACATCATCAGGAGACAGAGATTTCCCAAACTTCCGACACAGGCGAATTACTATCCACTACCAGCTGCTGGCTACATCGAGGACAAGAGAGTGAGACTCAGTGTCCTGACAGGACAGCCACTGGGTGCTGCCTCCATGGCACCTGGACAATTTGAGATAATGCAGGACAGGAGACTCATGCAGGATGATCAGAGGGGCCTGGAGCAGGGTGTCACTGACAATCTCATGACCAATCACATTTTCATGATTGTCCTGGAGAAGAGAAAGGAGTGCTCCACCCCTCCAGCACCTGAAAATCCTGCTGGGGCGCTCTCTCTGGGGGCCCATCTCGCCTCTGAGGAACTTCTCCATCCTCTCGCCACTATTCATCCTAATCCAGTTTTTAATATCGATTTTAATGGGCATTTCTCGGCACTGAGGTTCGATCTGCCTGTCGATGTTAATATTGTCAGTATGAGAGTCATCTCTGTGCCTGATGGGGCTGGAAAGGGCGTTGGAATGGTCCTCCATAGACAGGCAATCGACGACTGCTGGGGAGAGGAGGATCTCCATCGATTTGGAGACAGGGCAACTGGCACAGTCGATATTGGAAAACTCCTCAGCTTCGTCGAGGACTGGACCATCAGCGAGAGTCCACTGACTTTTCACAGTGTTGGACCCACTCTTAAGAGCACTAGTATCAATATCTGTCCCCATCAGATATCATCAGTCTTATTTCATAAGACACAATCCTAGGTTTCGCTAGGAATTCTTTAGGGCTTTAGATTCTCTGTGAGAAAAACCAAAAGGCTCTCGTAATCTTGTTAGAATCAGGCCAATTGTTTGTTGAAAATTAAAAAAAAAAAGCAAATTCAATCTTCTCTGGAGAACTCTGAATTGATTTTAATTCAAGATAAATCAAAATGAACAATATATTTTTTTGGTAAATTTTTACCAATGACCTCTGGGTTTTAACAAGATTAGCTCGACCTGTTGGTTTTCGTCTCGATTGAGTGAGTAAAAGAATGATATTTTAATTACTGAGACGAGTCTAGAATTTTCCATTCCCATAAGCTGTTTGTACGCGGTTTAAATGTAATTGATGACAGTATTAATTTATGGTTTTGCCTAGCTATAAGATTTTAATATTTTGTAGCTTGAGTGAGAAGAGCAAGTGATAGAGATTATTCTCAGAGTGATAGGTGATTTTGCACACCGCCTCGATCATTTTTCTTTCAATTACGTTGAAATTTTAATTTGTAAATAATGGTTTCGATCCATTGGGTAAGATTTATGGGCTTTTGAGTCCTCCAATGGCCGAAGATATTTACCGCTTGTAATATTCCCAAGGAGTGATCAATTTATATCAATTACGTGTAATGATTAATTGATAATTGACTTTCATAATGAATCAAAAGAATAAAAATAAGATCTGAATAATCAGTGTTTGATGATTCTCTTTACGAGAAAAATTTCTCGATTTATTCAGTTGTTGGATTTTTGTAGAAAATTGGAAGAGGAATGTAGAAAAAATTATTTGCTAATGATTATGTAGTCCAGATTCTCCCAGTCCGCCGGGCTTGTCCTGTCCAATTTATAACTGAAAATATCATTGTTTTGTTAATTTAATCCATTTTCTTGGGACGAGATATCGTTGTGTTTACCCTAGAGCTTCGTAGAAAGATCTCGCCTCGGTGTTGTGTTTGAAAACAGTTAAAACAACTTTTTTCATGCCACTTGCAGCAGCCAAACCCTCCAAACACTTCATCATGAATCTACCCAGTCCCTTTCTCCTGATTCTGGACTCCAACTGCAGTTCGTAGCTTTAAAAAATAGGAATTCCCTTTTGTTACTTCCACTCGACTGAATTACTCGGAATTATTTTGTTTTTACCAGTAGACAACTTCGACTTTATCATCCAGATCATAACGAAAGTGTGAAAATGCCACGAGTTGATCATCAACACTGGCTGTGAGGTACCAGGCACTGGGTTCTGTCAATTCCTTCCTCTTGGAACTCTCGTTCCATCCCCAGTTCGATTTTTCGTACATTGCCTTCACATTTCTCTCCATCAGGTCGAATACCCAGGGTAGAACTCCTTCAGGAAGATTTCCCACTCTCTCACATCGTAATTTAACATCTGTACCGTCTGGTGTGCAGTAGCTGTGAAAATTTTCTACAGCATCCAAAGGATTTTCCTGGGCATTCGCCTTTTCCACGAGACGTTTCGCCGCTGTCTCTTTCTCGGCTAATAATTGTTTCCTCGTTTTGTGTCCTTTCTTGTTCTAATCCAGACCGAAAAGCCCGTGTATAATTCCATTGTTTACAATTGCAATTGCATGCAATCCATTGAAGATGAGAAATTTGCGGAACCAACAAAGACAATTAATTGAGAGAAGAATTTCTCAAGAACTCGAATTGCAACAATTAATTCGTTAATTACCTTCATTTCACCCGGAAGTCAAGGGGAAATTAGTAGCAAGAAATTCACGTGAATTATCTATTTCCAAATTTGTTTACTCGAAAAATTGCGAAAGCCCCTCTCCAGGCCTCTGAAGGTTATGCAACTTGAAAAATATGACTCACACGCCCGGACTCGTTTATTGGAAGGTTAAGTCATCCCAAAAAAGCCCAACAATTTCATTCATCCCCGAATTACTCAAACTCAGACGTCATCGAGACTCGCCCCGCATAGGATCCCTCAAATGTCAAGTAAGTCTCTCTAAATTCATGGATACCTTAAAATATCGAAAGAATTTCAGCGATCGAGCCAAATACCACCCCTCAGACAAAAACCTCGATAGGTTAAACACCGGAAACTCCAAAACCCTCATTTTGCCCAGAGATTCCCAATTTTCAATCCCCACAAATGAATTTGTGAGACCAAAATTTTAAAAATCGGTTTAGAAAATCAGCTGATTGCAAATTCCATTGGTTACAACTTTAATTGTTAATTTATTGAATGTCGATAATTTTTGGGTTTTCAGGGGCCTAAAATCCGGGGAATTTCTTAAGAATGTCTGAGAACGCGAGTAGTTCGACGACAGACGTATGTCCGTTGCGTCAGTGCTACGAGAACTACATCCTGATCGACGTGGGTGCAAACCTAACGAATAAAAAATACAGCAGAGACCTAGACTCAGTGATTCAACGAGCGAAGGACTCGGGTGTTCAGAAGATAATGGTAACAGGTGCGAGCATAAGATCGAGTAAAGAAGCCCTACGTCTGACAAGAATCTACCCAGGAACCCTGTACTCAACAGCTGGAGTCCACCCCCACGACGCAAAATCCTGGGACGACGACGAGACCCTGGAGGAGCTCGAGACAATAGCCAACAACCCAGAGTGCGTTGCAATAGGTGAATGTGGACTCGACTACAACAGGGACTTTTCAGATCCTGAGACTCAGAGATCAGTCTTTCATAAACAAATTGAACTCGCCTGTAGACTCAATAAACCCCTGGTAATTCATGAGAGAGGTGCGCAGAAGGATGTCCTGGAGGTTCTCTCCAATTACAAAAATCGTCTGCCCCCGGTGATGATTCACTCGTTCATTGGAAGTGCTGATGAGGCACGTCTGTATCTCGAAGAGGGATTCTACTTGGGAATCACTGGTTATCTGTGTAAAGACAAATCTGACAGTGGAGTCAGACAGATACTGGAGGCTGGTGACATATCTCTGGATAAAATTCTTGTTGAGACTGATGCACCCTTCATGTATCCCAACACCAGAGCCAGTAAACTTCCTGTCCACGTCAAGGATGGATTGACCGAGAGATCAATGACATTTCTACATCGGTACTGCACTTTCCAGAGGAATGAGCCATGTGCACTACCTGCTGTTGTAGAAATGGTAGCGGCTTTCATGAGAAAATCACCCGAGGAAGTTGCCCTTGCCACTGCATTCAATGCCCTCAAGGTCTTCGGGTTGAGCCAATGATTCCGAGTCCTCGAGTTAGGGAGAAATTTATCCAGTGGTGCTGATCGTCTCGTGGTGCTCCGATCGAACGCCGAATTTCATTTCCCATTAAATTTCTTTTGTAAAAGAGCTTGAAAATTTTATTTCACGTTAACGACTAGTTTAGACTTTAAGGAGATAATCCTTGTGCTTGAATACTCATTGAATTTTTTTTTTTAATCTCCAGATTTTTGCATGTTGGAGACGATAACGTCATTTTATTGTTGAGAATAACTATTTTGGTATAATAAAAATGTTGAGAATCTAATTGTGTCTTCATTCCACTGCTGAAGGATGTGATAAACTGCTGTTTATTTTTGGATTGGTTTTCTTTTTTATTTTACATTCAACTCTATTGATTTGTCAATGATTAATTGACGACTGCTGACAGCTCGTCACATTTGAGTCTGATCGCTTGCGAGATGTAGCGAATTCTCTCGGGTTCTGACAGTTTTTTCCAAGTTCTCGATAGAATTGGAATGACTGTAGATTTTGTTCCAGACTCCAGTTGTTTTATTAAAAATGCCCAGTAGCCAGTCAGGCGATCTGTATTACGAGCGTGTCCATAGTTCGGGATGTTCATGAATATCAAGCTAAAAAATTAATGTCAATTAATTTCCCCAGATCTAAACATCATTTTTTTTCCAGCCAGCGAAGTTTTCCAGGAATAATCCAACATATAATTGAAAAATCCAAAATTCTTGTATAACCTTTTCTGTAGCTCTCACTTCCCTCTACAAAAAAGCTCTCCTAAAGAATTTCGGCATCTTCCACAGATTCAGAGATATTTCCCAAAAACTCAGCTAGACTGTTTTCTTCTTTTCGCTCCTGAATTATTCGAGAGATGAAAAAAAAAAAAAGAATAATTACACTTGGCTGTCCGGCAAAGGTATGAGTTCCTCGATCTTCTCGACAAGATGCCCTTCCTTATTAATAGCAATCGGAAATCCGCCTTTCCTCATAATCACGACATTATCCACGTAATATCCAAATTTTGTTTTAAGCTGGTTAATAACGTACTGTTGTCCCCCGAGGGCGCATTCTATGGCGTCCTGCAGAGGATATTCTTCTCTATCAACAGCAGGAATATTCTCGCAGCCCCTGAGTAAATCCTCAGAGGGCCAGGGTCCCTTATACCCATGGAATCCACTCTTAACCGCATGATAGAGGAGTAAAAATCTCTTCTTCGCGGAGGTGTGTCCCTCAGATCGCACCTCAAACTGCGTGAATACTTTCTCGATGAGTTTTGGCATCAAGCAATCGAGTGAGGCCATGTACAGGCCTACTTTTGTGAGCTTTCCAGGATTCTGATCGAGCAATTTTTCACTCATCAGTGATTCCTTGATGGAGTCCCAGAAGACGGGCTTGTAATCAGCCTGAGACAGGGCATAAAAGAATGATCCAATCTGATACTTATTTGCTCCTGAGATAATTCTCTTGTCCTCGAAGCACTTGGCTGACATGTAATCCAGGAGTGCAATGTTGACGTGCCCCACGTCGTTGTAGAAGTGAGTGAGGTCCTGGGCGACTTCGAAGCCCAGATCTCTGGAGATAACAGTGGCAGCGCAGGCGTCAGCAAAACCCTCGTGATAATAAGCATCACGATTGTTTTTGACATCGTTGAATTTATCGGATAATCTCCTGACCATCGCCTGTAATTCTTCCTCGTTGAACGTGTCGATGTCCTCCGAGAGGATTCCCATCATCCTGGGGATCAGGGATCTGACAAGATCAGTTAGCTGCAACTCCACGAGGCAGAAGAGAATCTGCTTGGCATTTGGTGGTTTTATTTTCGATGTATCTGTCTTTTCAATTATCTTCAGGATTCTGGTGATTGCATCGAGGTTCAAGTTTGATTTACGCAGGTACTGGAAGACTCTTACTACAGAGTCCAGATTTTCAGGGTCCAATTTATGTCCCACGTGGGTCTCGAAGACAATTGGCAGGGCGATTTCCAGGGCCTCCACCAGAGGTGTCTTTCGGCATTTCTGTAAGAGAAAACTCAGGAAAACTATTTCATCCAGGGACAGCTGATTTACTGACGTCCTGATCATCTGGAGGAGCATCTGAATTATTACTGTCGTCGAGGGGACGCGTAGATACGTCAGGTACTTGAGGGCTTGTATTGCCTGCTCCCTCTCCAGCTGGCGAATATTTTTCTTCACGATCTCGCAGAGAATGGAAAATTCTTTCTTCTCGTGGATGTCCTCGAATTTTTCCGAATTTTTTTTCGACATGTCGAAGAGAACCTCCAGGGTTTTCAGGGCGTGAATGAGTTGCATCCCAGAATTTTCATTCTTTACCAGGAGGAGGACCTCCTCTGGGATATCGCAGGTGCGCAACTGCCGCAGATATCCCTTGGGCTTCTCCGGTTTATCGAAGTCGTCCAGAGCACGTTGAGAATGACCAAAAGGCTCTGCGCTCACAGCTGCTTTGAGAGGATAATAGACACAAGAGATAAAAGAATGGAAACAAAAAACGACCAGTTGAGAACGAAAAATTCATTGGAATTTTTCTTAAAGTAGATACCTACAGCGATTGAATCTAGCATCTAGACCTGATGACGAATGAACTGATCTCAGGGACAGGACACGACTCGATGAGACTGACAAATTTCTCAGGGCCATCGAAAGTCTCAAAACACTCCTCATGTTTGTTGTCATTTTGTTTCGACAATAACTTGTTAACTTACTTCAACAAAGATCGGATAACCTCAAAATCGTGGGTTAACCTTAAACTATTGTTACTAATGTCTCCGTAAAAAGTCACTGCTTTCACCTCTAATCCCCTGAATTATAATTTTTCGATGTTTATAATTCAATATCTCTTATTAAAAAACATTTTACGCTAATTTGAGAACTGAGAAAATTAAATGATGACCGATAGTACACCGCGTGACCCCAAGCATTGCCGGAGGACGAAATCATAAAATAAATAAATTGAAAATTTAATTCACTGAATTAAAATGTAAAATCTCAATTAATGAATAAAAAAAAGTTATTTCACCCTAAATTAAAAGAACTTGAAAGCCCAAGAGGAATTGGAATTTATTTGAGATATTCTTTTATCCGAAAATTCTAGATTTATTTTCGAAAATGGCGCCACAGCCGTAAACTCGGTCGATAAAACAGCGAGAGGTGTGAACTCGTGTTCCTATCTTATTAGCAAAGTTCATTTTGAGTTCATGATCGAGTTAATGTGCATCTGCCACCTGCAATAAACAGAGGATTTCTGACAGAAGAAAGCCACTGGATAAATAAATCAAAGTCCCACAAATTCGAGGGTAAATATCAACCTAACGTACCTCAAGGGAATAATTAATAAGAAGAGGAGACAGTGAATTTAGAAATTGTCCCGTGAAAATTAGTAAGGGCACCTGGATGACCTGTCCCTGCAGTGAGTAACTGTGAGTTCACCCAGGGAAAATCGAAAAATCAAGGATACAATTCCTGAATTGTTGTCACATCGAAGCAATCGTGAATACGAGAGGCACATGTGTGTGTTGTTTGGAGAAGAATTTTGCACGAAAAATGTCCGTTACCGAGGAGAGGATCCAGGAGCTTGATAGAAGTTTTCTCGAGTTCATGAGAACGTCAGAGAATGTTGACATGGCATCTCAAGAGATCTACGAGGATCTCCTGGACGAGGTGCTCATGGGTTTTGTTTTTGATGTCCATAGAACTGTCAAAACTGGAAGCTCAGACGTTGAAGAAGGAATTCCCGATGATGAGTCTTATGCTATCGTTGGTAAGAATAAAAATATCCACAACAAAATTTCGCCATTTGTTTTAATGAAAGATGCCTAAAATATCTTTTCTTTGATTTCAGACTCTCCAGGTCTTGACGTCTTCGGCCAACACCCGATTAAAAAATCCCAAGAGTGCAACTGTCCGAATTGCGATCGAGGAGTTGCAGCTTGTCGTTTTGCAACTCACCTGGAGAAATGTATGGGCATGGGTAGAAATAGCTCGAGAATAGCATCACGAAGAATAGCAAATAGTTCGAAAGATCTGAGTAATTACAGTGGGGTTGTGAGTGACGACGAGGACGATGCAGACTGGAGTGTCAACAATGACAAGAGAAAACGAAGGAAAGACAGGAATGGAATAAAGAGAAGCAAGACCCAGAAGACACAGAGAAACGGTGACACCCCAGAGAGTAATGAAAATTCTCCATCAAACTACGAGAATATGTCAATCGATGATAAGAGAGCTCTTCTCACTCAAATATGTGGCGTTATATCTGAACACACTAAGAAGCTGTGCACTAGATCCATGAGATGCCCTCAGCACACTGACGACCAGAGAAAAGAGATGAGAGCAAATCTTGAGATTAATGAGGGAATGCCTGTGGATGTTGATGCCTATGACGAGACCGATGGACAGCATCTGAGGGACGCCCTCTCAAGATGGGACAGGGATGGATCCAACCAGTCGAGTCCAGCTGACTCTGCCTCCACAACTTCCAATTCATCTCTGACCAGGAAGCGGGAGGGAAAGTCCAAGGGTAAAGGAAAAGCCAGCAAGCGAGATCGAGGCTCACCCATTTCACAGAATGATTGAGAAATTTCGGGTGGAATTATTCGTCTCGATGGAAATTATTCGACTAATTATAATTTCCGTTTTAGTATTAGTAATTGATAATTTTAAGTTTAGATCTGTTACCCTGAAGAGCTGGGAAAACATTGATCTTCTGAACTTGAGAATTAATGTACAAAATGATATTAAATTAATAAATTACTGGGACAATTCAAGTGTTGATTAATTATTCCCAGATAATTGAATAGAAATTGAAAAAACAATTCAGAGGGCGCCTCCGACAGTCGCCATATTTGTTTGTCGTCAGTATATAGAAGTACGCGAAACGTAATTGTCAACAGTAAAATCGTTTTGTTGAAATAAATTGTTTAAAACGAATACGCAATGATCGAGATTAAGTTAGAAGTAGCGCATAATTGTGAGAGTGTACTCACCCTTGAGAAGAGTGACTCGGTGGATGAACTCTGGAGACATCTAGAAAAAAAGGTAAACATTCATTAATCTGGAGTATAACCTCTCAATTACGATTTGTTATTATAATTTGTATCTAATTATGAATATCTTTACCCTAGGGATTTTTCCAGAGGAATTTCTACATTTTACAGAATGGGAGACTACTTTCCCCAGGTGCCCACCTTTCAGGGGATGTCAGGGTAATTCCAAAGCTCCTGGGGGGAAAGGGAGGGTTTGGCTCGATGCTGCGAGCTATTGGAGCACAAATCGAAAAGACAACGAATCGAGAGGCATGCAGAGACCTGAGTGGTCGTCGTCTACGGGATATTAATGAAGAAAAACGCCTGAAAGCCTGGATTGAGAATCAGGGAAATCGAAAAGAGGAGCAAGCAGAGAGAAAGAAGAAAAAATTGGAGAGACTCTGCGCTGAGCCAAAGCACGAGTTCAAGGACAAGAATTACGAGCACGAGAGATCGATTCTCACTGAGAGGATCGATGATGCTGTTGAACAAGGATTCAAGACTGCAGCTACGACATCGAGTCTCGAGCCACCGAGGAAGAGTGTCAAGAGGAAAACAATGCTCGATGAATTTGATGACATTGACTCTGAGGAATTGAGTAGCTCTGAGGAAGAGAGTGATCAGCCAGTGAAAAAAATTATTAAAGGAGAGAAGACGTCGGGGGACAGTGGGTGTTCCTCTAGTGTTGACGATCACTCAGAATCCTCTTGTGACAAAAAAGAAGAGGGTAAAATTGAAGAGACACCTGAATACACCTCGATTCTCATTTCCGAGAGAAAAAAAATAGAACAATCCAATTAAAATTAATTTCGAATGCCTTGAACGAAAGAATAAGTCTCACTGAATTTTTAATAGCTCTACAATTGATTGTAATGATGCAAGTTGATAAATAAAATTCTTTTTGAAAGCTATTTGTGAAAATTTATCTCTCCTATTTGAATTATCTTAGAGGTGAATACTGAAAGAGATTTCAAAAAAATGTATACAGCCCAAAGTAAACATGCACTCGAAAATAATTTTCAACGAGCCTCTCGTTATCTCAAAACACCCGAGAAATTATTACTGAGATTCATTACACCGTGAAATATCGCGACGCTGGGTTTATTGGCGATAAGACTGAAATTAATCAGCTCCTGGCTTTCATTTCGAAACTCAACACCTCAGTTTTCAAACTCAGACTTGATCTAAAATCCCAACGATACCTAACAAAACTTAAAAAATCAGACTCATCTCACTTTACCACTTCACTACTGAATTCAATTTCACGATTAACTGCAAATTAATTGTGTATTAATTTTCAATAACTGTAGGTTTTCTCTATTTTATTTCTCAATCATGAAATAATGCCATTTCAATATTGAAAGGATTGAGAATAATTTTTTAACGAATGGATTATGTGAATTGAAGCGTAAAATTAAATTCAATAAATCTTGGAAAAGATGGTGAGCAGTTTTGTATGTAATATACGAAGAGAATGAGGCAATACAATTGGTGATAATGGCACATGATACGCGTGGTATGTGTTTATTGGTACCGATCGAGGGGCCCTTGATACGTTATTATTTTATCATTCACACGTTTGGGTGGTTGTTACATTATTGGAAGTGGGTGGAGTGCATGGGGCTGGCTAAAACGTATTATTATGACGCCTCAACTGACTATTCGGGGGTTTTAATATTAAATAGCCGTGGAGTGGAGTCATAAGATTAAATTTGAAGTATGAGAAAAGAGTTGTGGAATTTTTTCCGAATTAAAAGACGAATTATTCCACAAATTGTATAATTTGTGGATAATAAAAATAGAAGATTTTCTGGAATTTAAACGGTTAATGAAAATTGCGAATTTATTCGCCAAAATATTTTCCGGTGTCTTTACATGATATTTCGTTGGCTTTTTACCCCTGAATAGTGAGTAATCGAATTGAGGAAGCCATAGTATTGAGAGAGGTGCACGGATCGATACGTCAATTAATTTTGGGGAAACGAATGGAGCACCTGGTGAAGTCTATCCCCTCCGGCCAATTTCACATGGTAACTTTTAATTATCAAAGTTGCGAGTCTGAAAAACAATTTAATCACTCGAGTCGGTCAACTTTTAACGATAAAAGCCCTCAATTTGCGAGAAAGTAACGACAAACAAAAGGACGATAATTGAATGTAAAAAATCGATTTAAAATCGAATTGAGTGGCAAATGAACGATACAAGATGGCAAAAAGGTCGTTAAACGCTGGCAAATGGTATAAATAAAGTGTATGTGTGGAATTGTTGGTATGGGTTATTGAGCGTCGAGGGATTGGCCCCTTGAGGGCCGCCATAAACAATAGGAACCACACGTAATTGATTCTCTAATAACTTAACGCGACCTAACGGGCCCTCACCAACCACTGGCATAATGTATTGGCTTCTTTCAACCTATTCCACTTCGGGACACACGAGGATGAGGATTTAAGAGCCAGTCATAAACTATTCATACGGGTATTTTCACTTGCAAATTGCTATTCCGACGTAATGCTAGAGTAAAAAATCAAAATTCCATCTAGACTGTCATCTCAAACTAATCATTGATCATTAAATTCCCAGCGAAATTCAGAAGTAATTCATTTCCTCTGGAAGCAAAAGATCCGTGATGAATGATTTTGAAGGTTTTCAAGAGGAATGTGCAAGAATAGTGTTTATAAAGAAAAAAATAAAGACTTGGAAAAAGTGAGGAGGGGAGGGTTGAGGGAAAGCTTTCCTGGGTGAAAGCACGTGCCTGAATAACCCAGGGGGTCGGAGACGTGACTAAAGAGGCCCCTCGTTACCGATAATCGGTCCCATCCGTGTAATATACCTCATCTTAAATCTGACCAACACCTAAACATGGTCATCATGGACCAACGGTTATAATAAGATCGCTTCGGGAGTACCTTGTGACCTCAGAAGATTCCTCGATCGTTCATCAGATTTATACGAGACACTGCAGGAAGTGAGAACTCGTGCGATCGCATACGAGATACCGTTACCGATCGCCAATTTATTATTAAACAATATATCCACCACAAATTATGCAACACCCAGAGTTTTTCGCATCAATAATCCTGATGATGTGGAATTATTAATTTTCGATTATTAGATGAGAAAAAAAAAATGGCAACCGCGCTCTTTTGAATAATTACAATAATCTGAATAATCTGAATAATTTTCTTTTAACCGGATAGAATAGAAAATGAAATGAAAAAATAAATGTGTTCACAAGTCGGCGTGATGGTGCCCCCCTCTCAAAAAAAAATGATGAACGATCGTTTGGCAAATCTCGTCTAAACCACACGTGTTTCCCCAACACAACACGTATTTCCAAAGGTGCTCTCTCTCATGCTCATGTATTTTTGAGGACGTAGTTCATAAATACGCCCCAGTCCGGCTGTAAATCTCTCTTGCCACCATGGAAGGTGGTCTACCTCGTTTCCAACCGTCTTCCCCCGTTGTTAATTGCCGTGTTTTAACACCTATCCCCACGATCGATCCTAAACCCCCAAGCCCCGGGTGCGTCTAACTCCTTCTCTTATTTCTTTCATTCGTTTTTATTATTTTTCCACGTCAATTCTCATTTTTTTTTCTTTTTCCCCTCCCTATTTTTTTCTCTCTATCCTGTATCTCTTGCCCTCTCTCTCGAACGATTCTGGCCCCATGGGCTTTCCGCGCTGTATGTTGGCGAAAACACGTGGACATAAAGAAGACAACGTGTTTCAGATAAGAAACTCCTTCCTTTTTACCCTGGCCGAGACTCTGAGATGACTCGAGATTATTCTAATTTTGAATTTAAAGGTATTCCACTGATTTTTCGCGATTAATTCCATTTTCATCGATTTATCACCATTTCCCTCCCAAATAAAACTTCGTCCAAATATTTCCGCCATTCTATTTTTACTTATAAATTTTCATTGTGCATTAGTATTTCGCAAAATTCGCGAAATGTTTTTCACTATAAAAACGAAATTGCAATTTTTAATTGCATTATTATCCGCGAAAATTAATGGAATGAGTGTAATTTTGATTTTCACTTTGAAAATTAATTTCTCCCCTCCTCCCCAAAACCTAGAGATAACAGATATCATCGCAAACTTGTGTTTTGGTTGAATTATTTCAACTGATAAAAAAGCGCATTGGTATCGTCGTACGCCATCTTGGTCTCTTGCAAACGGGAAAACGAAATACACGCTACTACCCACCCTATAAATACCGGACTGGTAATTGATTCGGTAATAACTAACTCAAAGCCCCTCTTCGTTCCTTCCTCTCGTCCTTTTACCACCAGTCCCTCTCTCTCTTTCTCTCTTTATCCCACGATATAGAGAACGAGAGAGAGAGAGAGAGGGAAAGAGAGAGAGAGAGAGAGGGAAAGAGAGAGAGAAGAGAGAGAGAGAAAGAAAGAGAGAGAGATAGAGAGAGAGAGAGACTGCGTATGAGACTCGTTTCGAGTTCATGGCATAAATATGTATGTCGGTAATAATATAAGTGAAATGGGTAGACCGAAGGGGAGAGGAGAGAATCACCGGGGGTAACGCTTGCACGTCACGCAATTTTTGATAAAATATAATTCATATTTACAAGACACACCATGAATCGAGGTGGTGAATACCTAAATTTTAATTTCAACTTTAATTACATCCCGTGAAGACCCACAATATGACTCGAATTATCCAGGAGAAGGGACTGGACCCCTCCAAGTTTACAATTACTCGTCGGCCCACCCCTATCCCCCGCGCAATCCACCCCTATGGAGGAGTTTTAAAAAAATACAAAAATTGTTTGAATAGTGTGTATAATCGATAGGTCATTGAGGGGTCTCGATGCCAGGAAGCGATGGCCATTAATAAGTAAATAATAAATTCCCGGGAATCAAGAGTTATGAATAAAAATATGGAATAATGAATTTTTGAATTGATGGAGTGATAAAAGTGAAATGTTGATGATCTGATTGAGAACGAGTTTTAAGACTGATATTAATGCTTTTCACGATTTCCTCACGAATTTCTACTGGAGTTTTGTAGACCACAGGTCATCGGTTTTAATTAAGATCAGGTGATTAGAGCCACGTGCCCTCACGTGCCCATCCCAATAATATAACACGTGTTGAGGTAATAGTGTAATGTGTTTTTGCAAAAGAAAATTATTCCGCCTGTCTCGTTTCACTGCATGAATGCATTTCCAGGAATTTTCCGAATTTTCCGATTATAAATAAACGTGAGAATTCTCGTACTAAAATTTTACTGAGAGAATAGTCAAGGATCCATTGAATCATTCGTGCGGAAATTACTCACCCCCAAATGATACCCCCAAATGATACCCCCAAATATTAATGCACCCCGACAAGATAACGAGGTGATCATTAAAATACGCGTGACGTGATGAAGAAAAAAAAAAACAAGATATCAAAACCGCCTAATTCAAAAAGCCAGCCACGTGCCAGTCTCACGTTTCAATTCACGTTTGTGTCACGGTAACTGACACAAAAATAAGTCCCATTCAAGGGTTCACATTCACCCACACCCCACACTAATTTCCCCATCCATTTACCTTCACTTTTTCAAATATTTTTCTCCTCGGTACAGTGCAACTGCCCATTGGCCGAGTTTTCCATCGCTCGTAATCGATACTAGATTCTCCGATTACGATGAGGGAAAGGTGAACTTAGCGATGGGCAGTCCCGACTACCGCAGTTGGGGTTTCAAAATTTTTCACAGCCGAAAATGAAAAAAAAAAATGATTTTCCCTGATTTTTCAGGGAAGTCTATAGAGTGAAAAAGGAAAAGAGCAATTTCTTCGTCTTTTTCACTTATTTTTTTCTGTCTAGTCCGCATTTTCATCCCCCGGGGACTAAGCAAGGGAGGGAAGGGTGGAAGAGGGGGGGGGGGGGAGAAGGGCGGTGGGAGGTGGATGTTGGGTGGTAAAAGGGAGTACGAAGGAGGTGGTGACGGTGTGGTGGCTGTGATCTCACGTTACAGGTGTCCGATTACCCTTCTACAGCCGCATCTTCCTCACTGGTTGCCTTCCGTCGAGTTTTGCCACCATACGGAAGACACCCCACCCCCTCCATGGACCGCCCAGAATAACCATAACATTTTTAGGGTGAGTATCAATTAACCCGATGTAAAAATAATTTTTTACCCCATAAAAACTAAAAAATTAACGTGACCCAATTAATTAATAAATCACTAGAATTTCCACTAGTACCAATAGTATCAATTTCTCCAAAAATTCTCAATCATCAGTGGAATTGACGTCACAAAAATTTTCAACCCTAAAATTTTCAATGTCCAGAGACTGGGTTAGGGGATTCTAATGGATTCAAATGCATTATAATGCACTAGGTGCATTGGAGACGCGATAAAAATACCGAGTGAAATCTCGTGGATTTAACAAACTTGTTTTCATTTTTTTTTTTTTCTCTAGACTAGGACAAAGAGGTGGACACGGACTCGCATGAGGGACTTTGGCTCCATTATTACCTCACACTGGCCTGAATATCCCTTCAACTTCAGGGTGGCGTCACGCTCGAGACGCTTCCGGTGTTGGATTACCCTACGACGTCTTCTCCTCCGAAGGTGAACGCAGGAAAAATAAAAAGCTAATAAAAAATAAACCGATTGAAGAAAAAAAAAAAGAATGAAAAAAAAAAAAAGATGCAATGCTGTAACTCATTGGCCCGTGGAGTACGTCTCACTTTATTTCTCCGGAGTGAATGAAACAAAGGGACAAATTAGGGATAATTGGTTGAAATTTTTCGTCCGCCAATTCCACTGATATTTTAATTCAGAATCGCAGGTTAAAATCGGTATCTAATACCACAAAATAATGAGAAGCAATTGGTCCTCGCTTTTCCCTTTGTACCAATAAATAGTCGCTCAATTAAATAATTAACGAATAATTTCTCTTCATGAGATTCCCGTTGAGATAGTAAACCTAAAAAATGGCGATAATTAGCCGGAATTTTAAATCAGAATCTCACGTAAAAATGCGGCACGTGGCTCCATATCATCTCCAGTTACTCCAGCCTCACAATCTCAAAATTACGTCACTGGTTGTTAAAACATTCTATCCCCCTCCCCCCCCC